AAAAAAAAAAAAAAAAATCATTTGGTCATCTTCTAAGCATTTATTCTAAATGAGAAATATTATATCTTTAACTTAAAATCCCTTTTAAGCAGTTGAGGACTTTTTAAGTAAAGGGGAAATGGATATCATCGGACTTTAAAGATACCTAAAGGGACAAAATGAAGAGAAGATACTGGGAAAAAAACCTAAGAAAAAGAACAACTGTGTTGCTTAGTATTGTTCATTGTCTTCTCTTTTTAATAGGTATCAGTCCTACATCATTATCTTGTGCAAATGAAGCCTTCTGATTTGTTAAAGAAAATGGTCTTGAAGAAAAGGGCTGAACAACCAAATGGCACTATTGATGACAGTCTTCATTTAGAACTTGAAAAGCAGGTACCAAGGGCTAAAATGTCTCAAAGAGTACATATGCTTAATGGATACCAGTTTTCTAACCACAAATAGATGGCATAGGCATTTCTGGATTTAGAGACAAGATACAGTCTAGCAAACAGAAAGTGAATTTTTTTTTTTTTACTGCTGTCATGAAATTCTTCAGTAAACTTCAGAGTTGAAAATTTAGTTAAATGATGGGTTTTTGTAATTTAATACTGAGAGTATTTTTTGTTTTCCTTATTAAGGCAGTCACAAAGTGGTAAAAAGAATGCCCTTGAATTAGAAGTCATAAAGGCTAGTTTGAATGCTACTTACTTGCCAGCTAGGTTAACTTCCAGGATATCTTTTATCCTTTCTGGAAAATTGTCCTGATTTATAAATTATCATGACATCTATGTTAACCAATTCATGGGTGTTAATTTTATTCATTTCTCTAACAGGCTTATTATCTGACCTACATTCTTCTTCATTTAATTGGTGAAGTTAGTTGTTCTCATTCTTTTTCTTCTGGACAACGGGTAGGTAGTGTTCAGTGTTGTTGTTGTGTTACTGCTGCTATTTTTAAATATGTAGCATTAAAATGAGCAAGCTTTATATAGGAGAAAACTAAATAAAAGTTATATTAGCTATACAAATCCTTAAAAAGAAAGGGAGAATATTAAACTTGCAACCGTATCATACTGAAAAGAATTATTCGGGCTCAGCACCTGTAGCTTAGTGGCTAGGTCGCCAGCTGTATACACCAGAGCTGGCGGGTTTGAACCCAGCCTGGGCCTGCCAAACAACAATGACAACTACAACCAAAAAATAGCCGGTGTTGTGGCAGGTGCCTATAGTCCTAGCCTACTCAGGAGGCTGAGGCAAGAGAATCACTTACGCCCAAGAGTTGGAGGTTGCTGTGAGCTATGATGCCACAGCACTCTACCAAGGGTGACATAGTGAAACTCTGTCTCAAAAAAAAGAAAAAGAAAAGAATCATTTGTCAGCAAATATTCTATTTGTTGGAGTGGCCTTTAACCATCATAACTTGTCTACAGTGTAAGATACCAAGGTCAATAGACACCAGATGGGTTAGCTGTTAGCTGGTTTCTTCCCATCCCATCTCTTCTTCCAGTTACTTTTTTTCTTTAGAAATAACATTTGCTGGCTCAGCGCCTATAGCTAAAGTGCCAGCCACATAACACCAGAGCTGGAGGTTTTGAGTCCAGCCCAGGCCCACCAAACAACAATGATGACTGCAACCAAAAAATATAGCCAGGGGTTGTGGTGGCTGCCTGTAGTCCCAGCTACTTGGGAGGCAGAGGCAGGAGACTCGCTTGAGCCCAGGAATTGGAGGTTGCTGTGAGCTGTGATGCCACAGCACTCTACTCAGGGTGACAGCTTGAGGCTCTGTCTCAAAAAAAAAAAAGTTAAAGTGGCAAGTTTTTAAATATATTTTACCATAATAAAAAAGAAAGAGCATTTAAAAGGCAAGAGAATTGCTTAAACCCAGGAGTTGGAGGTTTACTGTGAGCTGTGATGCCATGCACTCTAACCAGGGTAATAGCTTGAGGCTCTGTCTCAAAAAAAGAAAAGAAAGAAATAACATTTGCCTTCAGAATTGAACTGATGGTAAATCGGGCTACTTTAGAAATGCATTTTGGGGCTTGGCATCTATGACTAAAGCAGCTAAGGTGCCAGCCACATACACCTGAGCTGGCGGGTTCGAATCCAGTGCAGGCCCACCAACAACAATGACAACTGCAACTAAAAATAAATAGCTGGGTGTTATGGCAGGTGCCTGTAGTCCCAGCTACTTGGGAGGCAGAGGCAGGAGACTCGCTTGAGCCCAGGAGTTGGAGGTTGCTGGGAACTGTGATGCCACAGCACTCTACCCAGGGCAACAGCTTGAGGCTCTATCTCAAAAAACAAAAGAAAGAAATGCATTTTGGGAGGCTGAGGTGAGTGGATTGCCTGAGCTCAAGAGTTTGAGATCAGCCTGAGTCAGAGCAAGACCTCATCTCTAAAAATAGCTGGGCATTGGGGCAGGCACCTGTAGTCCCAGCTACTTGGGAGGCTGAGGCAAGAAAATTGCTTAAACCCAAGAGTTTGAGGTGGCTGTGAGCTATGATGCCATGGCATTCTACCTAGGGCAACAAAATAAGACTGTCTCAAAAAAAAAAGTTAAGAAAATGCATTTTTTTTTTTAAAAACAGAGTCTCACTCTATAGAATGCCATGGTATCATTATAGTTCACAGCAACCTCAAACTCTCCTCTTGATTCAACCTCCCAAGTAGCTGGGTCTACAGGTGCCCATTACCATGCCCGGTTTTTCTATTTATTTTTTTTTTAGTAGAGACAGGGTCTCCCTCTTCCCCAGGCTAGTCTTGAACTCCTGAGTTCAAGCAATCCATCTGCTTCAGCCTCCTAGAGTGCTAGGATTACAGGCTTGAGTCGCCGTGCCCAGCCCAAAGCCTTAATTAGTGAGCATTGTTTTCTGTGATAATATGCAGTGCTTATTGATACATCGCTGCCCACTTGTATAAGCATATCTATAGGGTAAATTTCTTAAGTAGAATTGCTGGGTCAAAGGTTATACAAATTTTAATTATTTTATAATAGCTATCATCACATTTCTCTCCCCAAAAGTACTCATTTAAAGTCTCACTCAGTATCTAACGAGAGTAACTATTTAGGCCTAGGCAGTCTTAAGATACTTAATTTTTCCAGTTTTAATTCAGTATGTTCCTCTGTTAATAAAAGTTTGCTTTGTTTACAGAAAGGAAAAATAAGTTAGCTATTACTTGAATATTCTATTAGATATTGTGTTAAAAGTGTTTCACACCTGTAATCCCAGCACTTTGGGAGGCCAGGGCAGAAGAATCACTGGAGACCGTTTAACACTGGCCTGAACAGCATAGTAAGACTCTTGTCTCTAGAAAAAAACTTTAAAATTAGCCAGGTATAACAGGTCACACCAGTAATCCCAGCTGCTTGGAAGGCTAAGGTGGGAGGACTACTTGAGCCCAGGAGTTCAAGGATGCAGTGAGCTGTGATCATGCCACTTTACTCCAGTTTGGGTACCAGAGTAAGAAAGACCCTGTCTCTAAGAAAGAAAGAGAGGGCTCAGTGCCTGTGGCTCAAGTGGCTAAGGTGCCAGCCACGTACACCTAAGGTGATGGATTCGAATCCAGCCTGGGCCCACCAAATAACAATGATGGCTGCAACCAAAAAATAGCCAGGCACTGTGGCAGGCACCTGTGGTCCCAGCTACTTGGGAGGCTGAGGCAGGAGACTCACTTGAGCCCAGGAGTTGGAGGTTGCTGTGAGCTGTGACGCTATAG